CAAAATTGTCCCCAACCTGTCCTCTCGGGTGGTCTAAAACTGGTCTGAAACCCTTTAGAAGTCCCATCGGAGCCTTCAACTTTGAGCCTCCCTCCCTCCCTCCCTCCCTCCCTCCCTCCCCTCATCTCAGATTCTTGAGCATTATACCATGATAGAACATGATACAACATCCGGGGATACGGGTCGAAGAAGTCAAAGACCATGCGCATAGCGATGCGGTTGAGCGATTTAGAGCTCGAGGGAGAGCGATTTCATGGTCTAAAAAGGGTTGACAGGGAGAAAATAGAATAAGAAACCTTATTTAGAGCCTACCTGCTAGCCACATTTCTTAATTGAATTGAAAGGTTATAGTTAAGAAATAATCTAGAGTCTACTCTAAAAAAGCGTCTTTCTTAACAGAGTCATCAGCCGTAGTGTATATAAGTGGAATATACCATTTAGTGGTTCCAGTTCCTTATACAGTAGTACCAGTAACTGGAATGCACTGGGCCAAGCAAGCTGTGAATTCCCTTCTCTTCACCTCTCGGTGGCGCTCCTCAGGCGTGATTTCAGGAACCCCTTTCGGTGGCGCCTTCCTCGGCTGCCAAGGTGAGTTGCTCTCAGCTGAGGGTTCAAGAACGACACACTCAAAAAGATCCAAATGTTCTAGATCCTACTTTTTACAGCACTCATTCACTCATGAGTTGTATAATGTTGTATATTATATGTAGGCAAGCAACGTCACCGCCACATGGAAGAATCCACCCTTCTTCATGGGTTCTCCTCATTCTACAGCTGAGGGCTTCAGCCAGGCAAGTCCGGGAAAATCCAAGGCTTCAAGTCACAACGTCCGCGCGCGTCGCGCGGTGAGGCCAGCTCCAAGCCGGGTTACAGCTTGTTGAGCAACCGCAGCAGCTCCAAGCCGGTCAAGCCACTCTGCTCGGCCGCAGTCTCCTCTGCTGACAGCGCCAGGGGGCGGAGCTCCAGCTCAGGAACGGCTTTGGAGATCCAACCTGGCGCCGTTGAGGTGGAGCGGTGGACCTGAACACAGCTGGGAATGGTATAACGACGCTCTCTTGACGATGGGGGAAGCCCGAAGAAGACTTGGACACTTGCTCATGCGGTGCGAATAGAATTAAAGGTGTTCAACAGTCGCGCAGTTGGAGAGAGCCGAACGCCAGTTGCACGAGAGAGCAAAGGGAATTCCTCATCTCAGGCGGGCACCCCCAGCACTGCAACAACTGCCATCTCAGTGGGGAAGGAAATGGAAAGGAAATGCACCCCATTCCATGCATTATGTATTTACCTACATCGGGGTGGCTTGAAGAATCAATATACGTAGGCCTACATACATTTACATACCATACATGGAGTGTCAGTACCTTATCCATCTAGTCGTTCAAAGGGTAGCCGGGCCCAATCAGCAAACCAAACGCGTGTCACACGTCCAAAACATCAGCTTTTCGTCAAAACATCAGCTTTGAACACTTGTGTTTATCACGTCTCTTTCGTACAGGGTTTGTTGAAAAGGGTCGATGCCCAAAGCCATCGTGTTTGCCCACCCAACGGGTGCAGGTTTCACATACCTTGGAAACTGAAGCTGCATTTCCATCCCAGGATGAGACCACCACGGACCATGGCTTTTAAGCTTTTCGTCATGGCACTGGCGTATTCGGCATAGCCCATGTAGCGGGTGCGGGATCGCAAGAACTCATCCTGCCGGCGCCATCATGGAGGGAAAGAGATCATACCTTCAAATGCACTTCATGGCCGTGGTTCAGAAGTTTGCCATCCAGCACCGCCCAAACGATTCTAGTATATTGAACAAACAACCGAACCCTTCTTTGGAAGCACATGACCGAATCCTTTGACCATTTTCGTGGGCCACAGCCTCAAACATCCATTTAGAAGCAAGGGCGCTCCGATTTCCCTCCATGTCTCCACCATCCGTCCGAACCACATCTGCCCCATCCGTGCAGAACATCACTATACATCACCAGGACTATGCCTGTTGCAATGACTTTCCCCTGAGGGATTTGGATAGGTCCTTGCGGCAAATCCGCCGTGCAAAACGATTTCTTCTCCAAACCAGTGGCTTCCATATTGTTGTATGTCCTGGGGTGTGCTCCATCTAATCCACCACTCGTCTTTGTTGACCGTTCCAGTTTGGCTCATGTTTGTTGCATGCACGTATGTTTTCTTTGTTTATATATATATATATACATACGCAAATAATTAATTTAAGATCTAATAATATATTTCATCTTGTGAGTATTTTTGTGACTGTGTGTATGATAGCACCCACATCGTCCAGGTCACTCGGTCACTCTTTACTGACTTCCTGAAACCCACGGCATCCCACAGCAGCATCCCACAGTGCTGCCTTCGCGAGTCGCTTGTAGCTGGGTTTCCACAAGGAGATCCCCATGGGCGGCGGAATCGGAATCTCCGATCTCCCAGGCGGTGGCGGTGGCAACGGCTGCCTGAGACGGTGCGACCGACTGGCGCCAGAAAGAATCCCCAAGGTGGGACTTGAACGGCAGTATTTGGATGCCAAATCGAGTATGAACCATTGGTATCCATTGGTTGGGGTGGATACAATTGAAGACACACCTTGGTATTGTGAAGATTGTTGAACGGTTTGTTCCTTCTATATAATAACAACTGTACCATAAAGAGTTCAGGGGTGGGTTAGCGCTCCCAAGATTGCGTGGATATAAAATTCAATTATATAATATATGTATAGTGATGTCATGTAATGTCTGTAGGGACTGCACGCCGCATTTTGCTCATTGTTATGGCTTTGGAAAATAACACGTACCAGGACTCCAGAAAGAACTGCTCTTGATTATGCTATGTGGCAGGCTTTTGGCATTGCACACGAGTAGTGGAACGTCGTAGAAGGTCTGGATCGTTTCGAAGAGTTCTTGCGTACGGCGTAAGGCGCTTGCTGCTTGTGCTCACCCAAATCAAGCAAGCTTGCTCATCCTCAAAGATTAAAACAAAACACATAAAAAAAAAAACATCAAAAAAACGTTATACCTTCCATGCAGCCATGTTCTTCATTCCCTCATTTTCCAAACAGTCTTCTGCTCCAACCCCCCCAGATTCTTCCGCTTCGCCACAGCAGCGCGTTGGCCACGGTGTCCGGCTCCGCGGTGACGGCCGCGACCGCTCGGGGCGCGGCTCCGCGCATGGACTCGGCCGCGGCGCGGGCCGCGCGGAGGGACAGTAGGCGCGACAAGGGGCCCGGCCAGGCGGTCACCGACGCATCGCCTCAGGAGGCCCAGCACGAAAAGGTGGGTTCCTGGGGTGGATTTCGATGAAGAAGGGGACCGGCAAGAAAGATGCTGGAAGACTTGTGAAGCTGGTGATGACGCAGCAAATCGACCAAGCTGTGGACATTCAGGTCTGTGCTGAATGAACAAAGTAACTCTGACTGGTCTGGATTTTTAGTGTTCCACACTTCGTCCCTGGTCACGCCCAGGGTCCGATCTTGGCGGAGAAGCCGTCCCGATCCACCACGGCAGCCAGCAAGGACTTGTGGTCGAAGCGGAGTCTTTTAGAGACCACCTGATCCATCGGTGCGGCACGGGATGATCCGGTCATAGCACCAGTAGGGATGACCACTGGTGCTAGATGATGACAAGGTCAACAAGGAGGGAGATCCCTACTGTAAGAATCCCAAAAGTGCTCAACAAGGCCCTAGATCTTCGATCAGCCATGTTCCCTCGGCTGCCAAACCATGGCTATTTGCAGGTCAAGTACTGTGTACAGGGCCTGAGCCTTAGGTTTATTTTTGGCACTTACCGCCGTTAATATTATGTAATGCAAACAGTGGCCCAACCTGTCCCGCCCCAAGCACGACTGCGCCGCTTGCGCCTCGCCCAATTCTTGTGCTCCGCGCTTCCGCTCCGGCTGACCCATGGCGGTTTGGGCGGCGGTGCTCGGCGGGTGGATGGGGGTCGGTGTCACCAAGAGTTTCGGAGAGGTTTGCTTGGCTAGTGGCTACTCCAACCTCTCCGAAAACCATATGTCATATGAGTAGTGGGATCAACTGCAACCATCGCACCTCTCCTTTAGTGGGATCCACTCCAACCATATGTCATCATGATATTGACTTCCTGGATTCGAGCTTCCCGACAATCATCAACGTTCCAACAAAAACATGCGTGGCGCAAAGTTGCTACATGTTTACTTCATCAATTCGTGGTTTCAACAAGGTTTGGTGTTGGAAGCACCGCACAATTGCCTGCTGGCTACCTACTAGGGCTTACCAACCAATGAAAGTTCTGGCATAATATTAAGATGCATATTCTTCATTTTGCCGGGGTGATCCTCCCTTAATGTTCTATATGCAAAAGTTGCTAGGAGCTGGGGAGCTGCCTTTCCAATGACCAGCACTAATATACCAGCATTGCCCACCTGTTGACTGACATCTCCCGATCGATCCCTGATCCCCGTGATCTTCGGTCTCACCAGCGTGTCCCCTCGAGCCAAACATGTTCCAAGTTCCAATCCTCTGGATTTCTGGTCTCATTTCCAGTCCCATCTCTGTCTGTGTTTTCAGCAAGTGTGTTTTGGCCTAAGCCGAAGACGTCCGGGCTGACCCAAACTAGGCCTTACACCTCAATCCTCAGCTCTTCACCCTCCCATAAGCCCAATTGTTGGTTTGAAAGTCAACTGTTCCCGTGTGGGACCCCAAACAAGAAAGGTACTTGCAATATTGCACTATATACACCAATGCCCACCACTAAGCTGGTGTCATTTTCCAAAGAGCTATGGTGGACCTTCGCCCTTGTTGGCAAAAACATGAAAAGGAGCAATTTAAAGGCCGGCCTGGCCAGCGGAACCAACGGCAGTCCCACGATCAATCACAAAGCACACTTCCAAAACCTTGTCACACCGGATGCTTCCTGAACCTAGGCAGCCAGCTTTGAAACAGCGCTTCACCCGACCCGAAAGGAGGGACCTCAACCGAAAGTCGTCGTGCCGACCGTCGTCCCGCTGGGCGAGTTGTCCTGAGCCTTGGAAGATCCAGGATCAAGGACCCAAAGCTGAGCGTCCTGACGCACAAAGCACTGAGGCTAGAGGCTAGTGCTGGGGCTCCAGCTGAGAGGCCAGCTGATTCTGGAAAAGCCAGGTGGGTATAAGTGGGTGGTGTGAAAAACGTTATTTTGTGATTGGTTGCATGAGTCACATCGGGTTGGTGCAAGATTAGGTGTTTGTAGAGAAACATGGCCTTCTAAGAGCTATACCTGTTTCCCACGTCCACAATTTTGGATATGATTTATAAAGGATGATGCAGAACAAATAATGTGGACGACCTCATAGTGTTGGTTCATGTGTTTGCCAAACGCTTTGGTCACATCTCACTGTAATCGTTGCAATGCTGCAAGCCGCCTCGAAACACGTGGTGGAGCCACCTCCAGGGATTGGTTAAACAAACTTCTTTGAGGTTTTCATGTGTGTACCTTAGTGGCTCAGCTTTTGCCTCCTTTTTGTGAAGCTTCTCTTTATCTGCTGAGCTTATGATGTCGGCAATGTCGTCACGTGTCTTATGCGTTTGCCCTGGAAACCTCCACGATTCCATATTGGTACCAGTTGATGTTGGAGTTTGGCAATTTGGAGCCAAGTTCGAAGGGCTGGTGGCGATGGCTTATGATGGTTTTGTGGAAGTGTGGCATGTCCCAGCCGCACAACCAGGGTGGCTTTTTCCGTATGCACAGTACTGTATACCATGTTCTTGGTAGACAATTTCTTTATATTCCCTCCATTTTCCCTCTCTTTGGTGGAAACTAATTGACAAAATTGGTAGGTCAGGGTCACCCCTGATTCATTTAGCTAAGGCAGCCAGTATGTTTCTTTGTTCCATCACTTCTTCCACCGAAGGCACCACGAGTGCGCTCCGCTCTGCCAGCGCGGTACCAGGCCTCTAAGAGGGACAAAGCCTCGGTCAGGTCGCTAAGGCTGGCGTTCCTGGCTGCCGGAAGGGTTGCACAAGCAGGTCGGAAGTGGACAGGTCAAAATACCGGCTGCATCCGACTCCTGCCCATTGCACCCCTTAAGGACATGAAACATTAAAAAACCATTGGGCACTGGGCACCCTTCGCATGCGTCTGGTATATAACATTGTCCGTAAAATACTGTCTGAACCTTGTATAGAACCTCCAGTAGAGGGAGACCTCAACAACATTAAAAGCAAGGTCTCTTACAAACAAACTCACTTGGATCGGTCTTTGATAGGTCTTTGGATTGCGAGCCGGAGAAGAAACAAACATGACTAGAGTAGCTGACATGGCTGGCACTGTTGCAAACGCCTGAATTAGGTAGGCAACGAGGCCACTGGCTCCGGCTGCGAAATTTTGTCAAGTAGATGCCCACCCACTGGCTTAAGGAGTCCCAATTCCAAAACACATCTGCTTGGATAGAGCGGCCTCTGCCCAGAAAACAAGTTGGCCCTTGAGTTCCAGTTCCACTTCAAAGTTCGTTGATTCATCTAGACTCTAGCACTTCCACCTCAGTGCCTGTCTTCAACTCACTTTTGTCCTTGGTCCTACTGACTTCGATGCTCCAAACACCTTCCCCCATCCTTCCCCAACCCCCAAATCCCTCCAGAACGCTCCCGACGCGACACCCCACACACACCGGCCACCACCTTCCGTAAAGCGCCGTTGGACGCCGTTCCATCCCGCGCGGGACCGAGACCGAGCTTCCGCACGTGGCGGACAGGAGCTTGGTGGCCGCCGCGTTGATCGCCCGGAGGGACTCCTCAAACCCGAAAACGAGGAACGGCACGGACCAGGAACGGCGGGGGAAGGACCTCGGATTTGATGTGTCCTTTTTGGCGTTGGAGGCGTTGATTCCAATATGCCGCCTAGAAGAGGGGCACCTTGGACTGCGACCTGAACCGTGAAACCCGGCAGTTTGAGGAGTGGACCATGTATACGGTGTCACTACCGTGTTTAGCCTGAGTAGGTGGCACTTGGGATAATGAAAATCTCTAGAGTGATCGAGCTGGGTATACCTGCCATGCATCTGATTACTCCTCTTGGACTTTGAACCTGCTGTGCTGACATCTCTGACTGTCTTGTTGAAAAGGCCAATTCAGCGGCCGGTAAACATCAGGACAAATCCTACTTGCAGGGAGTGATAGCTAGACAAATTCAGGCCCAGGCATTTTGCTGGTTCCTTCGTCAGAATCATATGGCTCAAGAACTGGCTCCACAGAAGTGTGATCCGAATCTGACAGGGACCCCCAGGCGTGACCATGCTGCGAAATGCGGCGAATACGCTTTCTTTGGGCAGGTCGGGGCTAGACTGTCTATAGCACAACCTCACAAACGGCTTTGAGCACTCTGCGGTTTTGGGCTGTGGAGGATTCTCCAGCCAGTCAGTTTGTTCTTAGTTTTCCTTTTTGAAAGGACGTCTTCGTCTCGTCTCTTCTTTCGTCTCTACACACCTACCAGTCTCAGTCTTCCCGCCTGAGCCGCGGTTGGGGCTTTGGCCCTCTGCCCTGGCCGACTTCGTTCGGACGCAGCAGGGCACGCGGCGCACGGTTGGAGCTTTGAAGACTGTTGGCGGGGACCCACGAACGAAGAAAGGCAAATGACCTACTAGAAGTTGCGAACGTCATAGATTGAAAGGCAAGTCATCCTTTAAGCATGCTGTAGTCACCTTTCTGCTCGGAGACCTTCAAGCTGCTTCGCATGGGATTGGATTGATTATATAGTATGAATCAAGATTGACAACGGGTGCTCCTGAGAGATGCAGAACATGTGCCAAAAAAAACAGTGCTTTTTGCATTTTTTGGCTGACACATTACAAACACCTAGGTTTTGAGTCATTTTTTGCTTCAATGTTTTGTTGTTAATGCAACACATGATCAAAAACCCAGTGCTTTTGCAGAACTCACAACAACCTAAGTTTTGAGCTATTGTTTTGCTTCAATTGTTCAGACCAGGCCGACAAAGGTTCAAAGTAGGGATATGTGCGACAAAATGAGAGTTATAAACATAGGATTTGGATTTATTTGTTTTTGTTTTGCCTTCATTTTGTGCTCTCTCAAGCACACCCGCTCTCCAGAACGGGTGTTCGTGTAGTCGTGCCAACTGACTCAACCGGTTTTGAGTTCTGCCTGTATGTGGTTCGTAGTTTGTCACTGTTCCCCCATCCCAAAGACCATCCTTTTTTTGAGGTTCTGGCCCATCTTCTAGCTGGGAGTGGCCCTCAAATGGCTCCCCAACAAATCATGCGAACGGAAGCTTGCTTGTCTATTTCAGGACAGCGCAGTGTCAAGCCAATATGGAAGGTGCAAAGAGAAGATCCTCATCAAAACAATCGGGGCATGAGAAGATCCATCCAGGAAAAGTGTTTCCGACAGACTCAGCTCTCAAGTATCGGTACTTGATGGCTTTAAACGTATGCCTGAGTATACAAATTCGTCACAAAGGCCTCGATGCTGCACCCACGCCCAAAACCCCGCAGCTGGAGGTTGCACAGCTGTGTCTTTTCCAGCTTAACAGGAGTGGCATGGAGTGGTATACGATGGACATATCATACAAGCATCAAACAATGCCTATAGTGCTTGGCCCGAAGTTCCCGAAGCACCCAAAAAACTAAGTTAATGAAACCCTACTTACCCCACATGTTCAACATGTGTTCAACATTGTCCAACTATGTAAAAAGTCCAAGTCAAACTATGTCAAAGTCATGCAACCAAAAATCAACCTCCACCTACTTCGGCATGGTCACGTTCTGTCCCATCTGCGCCTGTTGCCAGGAGCTTGGGAGACTTTTGGACCTGGGCGGAGGGAGCCGAAAGAACCAAGCGACCGAAGCAGTCTGTGAAGTTTCAGGAACGATGTTTGAATTGGAAGACTTTGCACATCAACGGACATCACTTGCCCAACTCTCTCAACTCTCTTGGGATGATGTTTCACTTGGGACATCTGTGAGGGGAAGTTAGGAGAGTTGGGCAGTTGGAAGATCGAAGCAACGGCTACAAACGACCATACTACCATCGATGAGCATGAGTGAATTCTTACTCTAAGTGACTAAGTCCAGCAATTAGCCTTTCTTTCCAGGAGACTTTCTAAATACTCATGGCACCACATGTCGCCCCAACTACTGTTCCGAGACTCCTCGCTCTTCCCATTCCCACCGCATCCTTCTCACCGCCGTCTCCGTCTCGGCTCGGCGGCTCGGTCCTCGATCCTCTGAGCTTCCCCGACGGCCTTGAAGAGTTGAAGTCGCGCTTCGCGAAGCTCCTGAAGTCGACAGGACCGGAGGGCCCGGAGGCGGTGCTGGAGTGGGGGAATTTAAGGAGTCTAAGTGGTCAGGAGAATCTGGCGTTATTTTCGTGTGTATTTCTGGAAAGCTCGCGGCCCAGGGGTCAGCTTGTTTGTGTTTGTTGTTGTTGTTGTTGCTATTGTTGTTCCAAATTATATATATATATATTATCCCTACCCATTCTGGGGGGGACCTGAAAAATTGGAACTTACATTTTCCCCTAACATAGACCTAACAAAATGTAAGTTACATTTGTTAAGCAAACCACAAAACAATGCAACTACTTTAAGTTACATTTTTCAATACAAAAATGTAACTAAATAGGGGAAAATGTAAGTTACATTTTTCAGGCCTTTTCCAGGGAAAATGTAGCTTGCATTAAGTCACATGTCAGGCTGTTTGTGTGGGGCAGTTTGTCCATTATATCCTGGGTCATAGTGGAACATACATGGACCTGACTCCCAGAAAAAAATGTAACTTAGGTGTGTCCAGGCCTGGGATATCTGCAATTTCACCTGGTATGTGATGTGTGAATCATAGTGGAACATATATGGGCCTGACTCCAAGAACAAAATGTGACTTAGGTGTGTGCAGGCCTTGGATGTGTGCATTTTCTCAGGCCTGTCCACTTGGTGTGTGGTTTGGTTGTCTTGTTCTGTTTTGGTGTTGTGTGAGATATTTGTCATTTATTAGTTGGGTCATGTTGGCACATGTATGGACCTGACTCAACAAAATGTAACTTAGGTCCAGGCCTGGGATATGTCCAATTTCACCTGATATGTGATGTGTGAAGTTGGTCTTGGTTACATTTATGCCTACCTTTCTTTGGTGGGTTTGTTGTGTTTTGGTGTTGTGTGGGGCCGTTTGTCCTTGATATCCTGGGTCATAGTGGACCATACATTGACCTGACTCCCAGAACAAAATGTAGCTTAGGTGTGTCCAGGCCTGGGATATGCGCAATTTCACCTAGGCAAACATCGCGGACCAACTATGTGGTAGGTCAATAAACAAAGAAGCCATCATAGAAACATCTGCAGCATCTCGCGGCTGGTCTACCGAGTCTGCCAGAACATGGGGAGAACATTTGCACAATGGGGGGGGGCCTGTAAAATGTAACCGTCAGCCTCGCAGAGTCCAAGTTACAATTTCCAGACCTCCCCCAGTCCTTTTTTTTGCTGACAGTATGGCACGGTCACATCTGCACAGGGGGGGGCTGTAAAATGTAACATACAGGCCTCGATAGTCCAAGTTACAACTTCCAGCCCCCCCCGTCTTTTTGGTAGGGGGGGGCTGAAAATGTAACTATAGACCTGGCAAACACAATGTTACATTTTTAGACCCCCTCCCCCCCCCCCTTCATGCACCTCAATTGGGGTACCTGGGGGGGATAAGTTACATTTTTCGAGGGGGGGGAGGGGGTCTGAAAATGTAAGTTACATTTTTCAGACCCCCCCCTCAAATCCTTACTTAAGGGGGTGGGGATTACATATTTGTATCTTTGAGCTTCGCCATGAATCATGGGCAGGATGGGGTCTCTCAGCCGCAACCCTGGTGCAGGCTAAACTCGAAACCAAACAAGAAGCCGTTCCATCCCGAAGGAGGAAGGGGGTAGGCACCCCTAGCTCCCTTGATTGATGAGAACACACATGGGAAGCCATGAGCGGCTTCTTGAAATTACCATGGGAGGCTTTGGCCAGACTCGCAATGCGAGAGGGGACCAGCCCCTCCAATTTTCTTTCCTCAGGCGTGAAAGCCATTGGATTAGGGCCCAAGATTAGGAGCATCTGCCGTTCTTACTAAAACACCCTCATTGAGATCAGCAACAACAAAAACGTCATTCTCCCATTCACCCTTCTTTCATCGGACCGCCAAAGACTTCCGGGAAATCCATCAAAACCGTCCTTCTCATCGGTCGTCATGGCAGTGAGAAACTAGGAGATAGGATGAAATAGTTTTTTGTGAGAACCCACTGCTGGGTCTTTAGGCCCTCAAAATATCTAGGACCACTGCTGTGGGGTTGCTAAGGCGCTCAACTTGGCGTAGCCCCTCTTGACTAGCAAAGTCAATGCAAACAAATTGAAAGCCCACGCTGGACTCTCTTCCTTGCTGCCACGGTCTATCAAGTTCTTTTGAAGCTGAGATCAGCGGCAGGCCATTGTGTTCGGTGAAGTCCGCGCGTTCAGCTCCCTCCCTGGCGGGTCCGTCTGACGAGCTCCCTACATAGACCGGGCAGTCACTGGAATGCTAGTGAACCAATGACTGCAGATTTGTCCCGCTGGAAACCACGCGCTCCATGTTAGACAGTAAGAATGTGAGGCTTTCAGCCCATGTTGTACAAAACCCAGGCCTCCCAATTCCAAGCAACTGCTGCGCAAACTCAGCACTCTCTTTTCTCCAGTCGCCCTTGGCCCGATCCTTTGCCCAGCCCCGCAGTGCTCAGCAGCTTGCGGTCAGGAAAAACATGGCGAGGATGATGATGGGGTAAGCCACCTGCTTCGGGATTCATCATGATTCGCATCATGATTCATCCATGGTCCATGCTCCCAGCTGCGAGTTCAGAGGTACCAAGGTGCATTCTGTTTTTGTGTCGGGGTAGAGTAGGCATGTTTATCAAGTGCAAAATCTCTATATACACATCCCGCGCACTGTCGATAAGTTCTGCACCACCTGCATACAATATCATGGTATCTTCCATGGATGTATTGCAGAACTTCTTGGTATTGTGGTCCCAAGGGCCGTTTACGTCCTACGTATATAGTGCAACACAAAGGCTGCTGAACTTGCCACCCTCCCACTATCGCCAAGACACTGGAGATCTGGCTATCTGATTTCTACCATTGCCACATGGCCCTGTGCCGGTCACAAAGGCTGCTGGAAAACAGCAAAAAATAACAACATATCACAACATCTAGCTTTAAACTGTCTAAAGGTCATATGAAAAGTAAGCTCCATGAAACCGCATGTTGCAGCTTTCCTGTCCAAAAATGCACGCCCCTCGGCCTGCCCGCCAGGACCGAGGCGGTGGCCATGACCAGCGCCCCCGCTGCAGCGGCGTAGCCCAGAACGGCTAAAGGGGTGTAGGAGGTCCAGGGCAATGTGGTCTGCTTCACGACCTCCTCGGAACACCCCGAGCTCCAAAACCAGCGACACAGTCGAACTGATTTTGCGGAGCAAAACGCCAAGGAGTTGTGGTGGAACAAGCATCCAACTGATGTTTCCCGATGTTGGACCCCACATGGGGGCCAATGACCTGAGCTTGGCGGCTCTTCCAATCTCCAGTGCTGTGGACAACCAGTTGCTGTGATCCCCCAAAAAGGGGTGGAAACGTGAATCCCCTCTAAAGATCTCTAAAGAAGGTATTGGATGCTATTGGAATGTATTGGGCACATTTGGGAACCATTTCCATTAGGACCTCTGTGTCTATCAGTTGGGGAAGCTCCCCTTCCTCCTGAGAGGCTCAGATCAGGAAGACTCGGAGACTCTCGTCTGACCAGTCCAGTCCAGTTTGAACGAAGACCCTGAAATCGAAGCAGGTGTTTCCTGGACCCGACTTCACAGGTGTTTCCTGGAGACGACAAGTGCCCAGAAACCCTATGTTTGGCTGTTTGGGTTCTGAAAACTATCCCTTGGAAGGTCCTGGTCTGGTTCTGTCCAATTCTGGTCAACCCTTCGGGGATCTGCATCTGGTCTCACTTACTGGACCCAAGTTTCTAATCCATAGCTGGCCAACGATGCCGCCGGATGCCCCTCTTGAAGCTCACTGCGCACGGGGGGTCCGGGGCCGGTGCTTTCGGGTGCAAAGGCTGCGAAGACCCCAGGGGCCAGGAATGCCAGGGCAAAGCAAGCGCGGCAGCCAGCAAAGAGAGAAACCATAGGCCTACTCTCGTCTGACTTGTTGCACACTGTTGAACTGAACAGTGTAATCATGTTTGTAAACCTTGCCGCGCAATATTGTTGGCAAATCCCCATGGTCCATTCTTGTTACAGCATGTCAGTGAAAGTGCTTTGGATGTGTTCATCCACATGACATCGGAGATCTCTTTTGCTGTAAACAAGGCGCAAGCAAAGCTCCAGTCATCACCCCAAAAAGGTCTCCAGGATAAATCTAGCCATTGTATACAACATCTTGAAACTATGGTAGATATAAATACATATACGACATATACATATTATATTGTATTATGTAAACATGATCAAAGACACAAGCACGTTCCAAGTGAGCCGCTTCTACTTGTAGCCACTAGACTAGGGCTATATGCTTCTTGGAGCGCATCTATATACATACAGTGTAGCCATGTTGAAACTTCATGGATGCTCATGACCTTCATAGCCTGAGAGCCATGTATCGGTTCGCAGCTCGCAGCATAGGCACATGGCTGACAGTGACATGGGATTCTTCCAACAGCAGCAACAACAACGCTTGCCCATCTTAAAGGATGTAAAAAGTGGTAAGGAGCTAGAAACGGACTTCATGACGGTTCTTGACAGAATTCACAGTTCAAACCATTTTGAGGTCACTTTACATGACTTTTGTCCAAAAAAGGCGTATATATGTATATAGTGAGCCGCTCACCACACCGTTTTCTGCCCATCGGCCCGCGTTCGGCACCAAAAATCATGTGGCCACCGCTGTGCTCAGCGCTGGATGAACTGCATGGAGCTAATCGCGCCAAGGAAAAAGACGGTGGGGATCACCAAAGCGTGGACGGCCAGCCAGCGGAAGGTGAAAATGGGGTAGGCCACCTCAGTTGGCGTTCATCTACCGACTGCACATCCAATCATGATTTGAATTACCTGAGGTTCTTGATTCATTGCATTTGAACATCATTGCATCGTATTGGATCCACAAACAGGGCTACTAGTCACTATAGTCAGCTCAGCCAACCCTCGCATGATATCCACACCATCGCCATGGGACTGGAGTTCTGGCCACCGCTGCCTTCTCCGCCTTCATTGCCACACGGCCCTTCGCTGCAGCAGCCACGGCTGCAGCGGCATAGCCCAAGCTGGCACCAGCCATGAGGGAGGTCCACGGGGAGGTAGTCTCAGCGGTTTCCTGAAACGGTGACTATACACATGGAACAAAGCAGTAATTCCAAGATTGCTAAAGCTTTTGAAGCAACACCAGCCAGCACCACCCTTCTTTAAGTGGCACGAAATAACGTTGGTGATGGATGCCGGCCTTTAGTCCCTACCGCCAGTTCATTGAGTCACTGGATCCAGAAATCATGATAAACCTTGCGGCACCTTGCGCAAAGTGCTTCAACCAGGGTTCCGGTGCATAGCTTGCCAAAGGACGCGCCAGCTCACTCTGAACTTCGGGACGAGCACTCGCGGGTGCCACGAAGGCGGAGACTGGGGCAAGGAGTGCGAGCAAGGCAAGGACACGCATGGCAAAAAGCACTGGACAGCGATAAGCAGCCGAATCTTTGTCTGGGGCTTTGGGCACTGTCACTGGAGCCAAACGACGCAATAAACATGTAAGAGCTCTGTCTGGCAAAGCCAACTGAGTATTTCAATGAGTCCTGATGGCATTGATGAAAACTGACACAAGAACTATGTAATCAGGGATAACCAAGGGCCTCCTCAACGCTCATTGCTAAACTTTTCAGGTCTGTCCACAAAAATCAATTGAAACTGAAACATGAATAACAAGGGACTGAACGTAGACTCTGCGATGCTCATTCTTTTTCACTGCCCCGTTCGGCACCAAAAATCCTGTGGCCACCGCTGCGCTCAGCGCTGGATGAACTGCATGGAGCTAATCGCGCCAAGGAAAAAGACGGTGGGGATCACCAAAGCGTGGACGGCCAGCCAGCGGAAGGTGAAAATGGGGTAGGCCACCTCAGTCGGTGTTCATCTACCGACTGCACATCCAATCATGATTTGAATCACCTGAGGTTCTTGATTCATTGCATTTGAACATCATTGCATCATATTGCATCCAGAAACAGTGCTAATTACTAGTCACTAGATGTCACTAGTCAGCTCAGCCAACCCTCGCATGATCTCCACACCATCGCCATGGCACTGGAGTTCTGGCCACCGCTGCCTTCTCCGCCTTCATTGCCACACGGCCCTTCGCTGCGGCAGCCACAGCTGCAGCGGCATAGCCCAAGCTGGCACCAGCCATGAGGGAGGTCCACGAAGAGGTAGTCTCAGCGGTTTCCTGAAACGGCGACTATACACATGGAACAAAGCAGTAGTTCCGAAATTGCCAAGGCTTTTGAAGCAACACCAGCCAGCACCAACCCCCTTTAAGTGGCACGAAATAACGTTGGTGATGGATGCCGGCCTGTAGTCCCTACCGTCAGTTCATTGAGTCACTGGATCAAGAAATCATGATAAACCTTGTGGCCCCTTGCGCAAATTGCTTCAACCAGGGTTCCGGTGCATAGCTTGCCAAAGGACGCGCCAGCTCACTCTGAACTTCGGGACGAGCACTCGCGGGTGCCACGAAGGCGGAGACTGGGGCAAGGAGTGCGAGCAAGGCAAGGACACGCATGGCAAAAAGCACTGGACAGCGATAAGCGGCCGAATCTTGGTCTGGGGCTTTGGGCAGTGTCACTGGAGCCAAACGACGCAATAAACATATAAGAGCTCTGTCTGGCAAAGCCAACTGAGTGTTTCCATGAGTCCTGATGGCATTGATGAAAACTGACACAAGAACTTTGTAACAAGGGATAACCAAGGGCCTCCTCAACGCTCATTGCTAAACATTTCAGGTCTGTCCACAAAAATCAACTGAAACATGCATAACAAGGGACTGAACGTACTCACTCCTTTTCACTGCCCCGTTC